GAGGCAGAGCCTGGGGGAGCTCCATGAAAGGCACTGCTTAATGGATTGAGGTGTGTTCGCCGAGCCATGTGCGGAGCCCATGCAGGACTGGAAGAGCAGGCTGTGCCACAGGTCAGAACAAAGGCAGGACTGTATGAAAGCAGCATGTAGCCCAGGGTCAAGCCAATGCTATTAGTCCTTCAATTTCATGAGCACTGAGTTCCCCCACAAATCATATTAGACATGAAAGAAATGACCTTTTTAACAATGCAGTCACTATGTATCCTGCATACTTCCCAGAGTTTATTGGGCATTACCCAATTACTTATTAACTCATTCAACAACAGCTAAATCTATTCAGCTCATTTCTCCCTACTCTTTGTGGAATGTCTAAAATTAAGATAAAAGAATTGGGTCATGTTAGCTTTGGCTGAAAGAGAAACCCATGAACTAGAAGAATCAGAAGTAGTGCCTCTGGGAACCCTCATCATAGTTCTCTAAGACACTTACTGAGGATACCATGAGAGCTGTCTGTACAGTGAGCAACATTTTCATACACAGAGCAATATTACCTAGAGAGCTCCTAGAGACAGACACCAGATTTCAAGTGTAAATCTACAAGGCATCTTGGACCTGTGGTTATCAACTGAATCTACTAGGTTGATGTAGCAAATGGCTCTGAGAGGCATGTTCCCAGGGACAGGATGCCATGCTGCTATCCCTACAACATGAAACCAGTGCCCTTTTTCTCCCAGAAAGAGTTATTGGGGAGAATTATGAGAATTTTTGGCAGCCAACCCCCACCCAGCTGGATAACAGAGACTACCAGCACAAGCCCTACCACACACTGTGCAAACTATCCCAGAACATACATGGAAAGGCAGCACTGCAAAGGCTCCTGGGATGTCCACCCAAAGTCCTATTCGCATAACTTGGAGCAGCCCTCCATATGGAAGCTGTGATTCACAGCTGTCAGGTTTTGGGCAGCTGCCCAGAGGCTGTTCTGTTGAGGTTTCCTATCGCAAGACAACTTCATTAATGTAGCTGTGGCCTGAGAGACGCACCCAACATCTGACAATACGTTGTGTCAGATCAGACACTACTAGTAAGCGCCATCTCCCCAACCCCAAATAATTAAAACCCGGTCTTCTCATCCTTGCCGCAAGCATGCTGGTTTGTTTTCTACCACGCTGTCAATTTCATACCAGATGCAAAACTAAGAGACAGCCTGGGAATCCAGGCCAAAACATCCCTGAAATGTATAATTAAACTGCAATCACTATAGTGTAGTTAAGATTTGGCCTGTTTGGTCAGATACCTTGTATTCCCTTTATACAGAACCATCTAAATCATTACTTTTAATCAGGGCACATTCAAGTTCCTGGCTGCCTCTTTAAGCACATTAAAATATGTGTTCACCCTTGGCTCTGATAAACCCATGAAATCAATGTACCACAGGTTTGCAGGAGGTCATCGGTGGGATGGACCTCAGAAAGGCTTACCATACGTGAAGCATAAAGCCACTGTTGCTTGAGCTAGAAAAGAAACTGGGTAAGATGCTAGTCAGTAGTAGGCCCTTACTCTGATGCTAAACACCTACTAACAAAACGTAATCATTGCATGCTTACAGTGTGTCAGAGTAATCATGCGTGGGATGGACTCATGATAGAGACGTGACAGCATGTTTCCCAGCAGTAAAGATGAAATTGTCAAAGCAACCGAGTAGTTTAGGAGCCTAGGTCTCATTTTCAAAATGGATCAAGCATTTAGCCACTTTTGAATATGGGATTTATATTTCCAAGTACTTAGGCAACCCTGAAAATTTTACCCTACAAGCATGTTAAGAAAGTGAGAGCTGCAAAGGAGTACAGACCTGTGATATGTAACACAATAAATCTAGTGAGAACTTCCCATTAGTTTATTCCCTTGAAAAGTTTTATTCATCTCTGACTTTTGGCTTAGTACCCGTTTCCCATACCACTGTCAACAGCATTTAAAAGATATTGCTTGTAGCCACTAGCCACATCAATAGACAAATTGCTTATGGGATTATGTCAGAGCAAGGTCATAACTTATTTACACATTTTTGGCCCATATGTTTCAAAGTGGTTTACAGAACACTGATAAGAACTGTAATCATCAGTATTTTACAGATGAAAGAAATTGAGTCACAGAGGTTAAGCCAGTTACAGAGTAAACAGCAGCACTGGGAAAAGAACACATAAGAGGTTGGTTTGGTAAAGACAGAAATAAACACTTAAATCCAATAGGTTTGTGGGAGATACCACTAGAATCATGTGGTCAATTAGCCAATCGGGCCTAATCAATTGCCATCCATGAAAATTGCATTTCTGGAGATGTGCTAAATGCATGTAAACAACAAAAGAAAGAAAAAAGGAAGAAAAGAAAGAATGGCAAACTGCTTGATCTCCAGAATGAGAGGTTTGCCATTCATAGACCAGACCTCATTGTCTAATGGCTAAGCAGGGCAAAATTTGGAGACCTACCAGAAGAACAAAAGAACCATGATTTTTTCAGCATCTTAATTTTTCCTCCGTCACTTTCAAGGGCATGTTTTACTTAGTCTCAGAACCCAGTCTGGTGAGCAACAACTTAGGAAGGACCAGATTCAGATCTCATATACATGAAAAACTGGCATAAAAGCAGAGAGAGAGGGAGGGGAAATTCTAGCTCTGACGAAACAGTGCAGGGTTAGAAGTTCCTGGGAAAGTGATAGCAAGAAGAGTTGGGGTTTTATTTTGATTTTTTCTACGCCAGCATTATCAGTCAAGTGGTGATACTATTGTGCATTAAACAATTAACAACTTCCGACCCCGCATTCCAGGCACCAACTCAGTATCAGCCAACCCCTTGGACTGAAGTGAGAGGCTGATAAGAAGCTTCACTTGAAGAGTAACACCAGCAAGTTAGTTGTGTTGTTCAGCACCAAGGGCTGACTCTCCACAGTCAGAGCCATGCTCTTTCTACCATTCCAATAGGGAGAAAAAAAAAAATCAAACCTGTCACCTTCAACAAAGATCTTCTTGAGGGAGCCCTGGAGTGGGTTAGTTCAACCCTTTGGCTGAATCTCTGGAGGTTTCGGTTTACATCTGCTCAGGTCAGAGGTAAAATGAGTTCAACAGTTTCAACCTTTCCAAAAGGCAGCTTGTACAAATCCGGCACAATTTCATATGATTTACATATTTCTGTTGGGTGGAGGCCCAGATCTGGGACAGCAGACAGACTGTAGGTGAGGAATGAGAAAGGATGGATGAGATGGGGGTGGCTCCATCATGAAGCAGCAGTTTTATGAGTAGAGATGTTGGCAGAGTGCAGGAGGGATCAGGCACAGAGCAAATCCGGAAATATCAAAAGGTCAGGACTCCAGGGATGTAGTTTGTAGAGCATTTGTCTATGCTATGCCCATTTCCAGCCGGTTCTCAGAAATGACTGCAGCCTGATGCATACTGTTCTCATGGAGAATTTAGTGTTATTCTTAACCTAAAATGAGGAGGCACTGAACTGAAAGTGTACAATGGGTGTCTGTATATAAAAGACATGCTCAGAGTTTGAGGATTTCATAGTTTCATAGTTTCTAGGGTCGGAAGGGAC